CTCTCTCTCTCTCTCTCTCTCTCTCTCTCTCTCTCTCTCTCTCTCTCTCTCACACACACACACACACACACACACACAGAGAGAAGGGGATCATCTTTGACATGAAAATGGATACTATCCTTGTTTTAATTGTACGATCTTTATTGACATCATCGTGACAATGTATGGCAGCATCGCCCTGGGCGTAAAATGAAGAGAGTGGAATGAGAGAGAGAGAGGGGACGAGTAAGCAAGGAACAGAGAGAAAGAAGAGTTGTGAGGACTCATCCTTGTCCCAATGCTCGTATAAATCCGTGATGATTACCGCGGTGATTAATCCCTGAAACCTTTTTCAATTGAAGAGATATTACATGCATAGCATACCTGAACAAATCCACCACAGCCGATCACATTCTCGTTCGCATTGGCTTCTTTCGTTAGCATAGCTGCGAGGATGACAACCATCACGGCGATGGCGGAAGCGAGACCCCGCTTGTGCAGAAACCTGGCTCCCGTTGACGCCACGTGGACGGAGTCAGCCATCGCCACCGTCTTCGCCATCGCCACCGTCTTCGCCATCGCCTCCGCCTTCATCATCGCGAACACAATCAAAGGAAAGGCAGGTCTTGTCCAAAGCAGCCCTCAAACCGATGCCTCGGACCAAAAAGCGACCGGAATGTTCACAGCCCCCCCGCCCAAACATCCCTCGCGTTTCTTGCCCAATTGCTCTTTTGGGCGTTTCGCGGGGTGGGGTATGAACCGGGCCGAAGTCCGATCAGATGCACCCTCGGTCATAGGTTCGGCAGATCCGCAGGCACGGCATCCATGGTACGCATACATTACTGTCCTTGGCCGCAGGTTCCGCGCCCACGGTATGCACTCATTACTGCTTTCAGCGGGTACGGACGGCATTTACGGTACTCGCACATTACTTCCTTTTCATAGGTTCGGCCAAACCGCAGGTACCGCATCCTCCTTCCACAGTCCCTCTGACGATCACTAACATAGTCACTGTGCAGATTCCAGCAAAACGGCCATCCTCCTTCCACAGTCCAAGTCCAGCTATGGAGGATGGCACGGTCCTTCCTCAACTTTGTGCAGACTGTCAGCAGCTCAATCAAATTGGCTACATGTATATCCAATTAGTTTCTCCTTGAAACTCCCATCAACCTCACACACTGGATCCTCCTCTTCCTCGCCCAACTCTCCAGCTACAGCTATGCTCCAACATGTCCATGTCCTCCTACAAGGCTGGCGCCCTCAAGACTTCTCTTCTTTAGGTTCTCTATATTTAGATTGTATTATTGATTCAGATTCTATGATCTATTTAATAAATAGCCTATTAGATTTATTCATTGGTATAATAAAGCACCTGATGCCAGCACCTCTTTTCACCAACATGTCCTCCTAAAAGGTTGTCGCCCTCAAGAAGCATCTGGTGCCAGCACCTCTTTCCACCAACCTCGTATGCAGCACCTTGGCTGCGAGCCACGGCAAGGTAGAAAGAGTCTCTTCAATCGGATCTTCTTCTTACAGTTTTGACTAATGTTGACCAGCCTCCCACTTGACCATGTAGACGATCAAGGTTTTTCTGAAGTCCATGGCGTGCATGCAATGTTGCCCCATAAGTCCACGGCCTGCATGTAACGTTGCCCCATATATGTTGCGTCCCTGTTGGAACTGGAATCTTATGGAAACCTGTAGACAATCTTTGATGTGCATTTCATCTAACCCCGTGCTTGACTACTGCAAGACTTTAACTTTGGGTCTGTATTTCCTGTGCTGGCTCGGACTCTTGATTTACCAAGAGTCAACTTTCTGGCGTGGGGGTATTTGGTGTAGTTGTTACTTCAAGGCCTCGTATCTCTTGACACTGGGGACTTTCTCATACCTCTACAGGACTCGAGACACAACTTTTCACTCTCGCCTTGATTTATGCTTATTTGAATTGAGTTTATTATAAGTATATTGTGAATATCGGTTGATGCAAATTTTAATTAATTCTAAGTTATCATTCATTATGATTGTTTTAATAAAATGTTAAATTTTAAAGTTATTTCAAATTAATGTACTTATTTTACATCATTTACTGCTTTATTTGTTTCAAGTTGAGTAAATTAAAAGTTTATTTCAAATTAAATCAAATTTGTTAATTTTTTAACTAAAATCATTTGAATTTTTTGTGGTAACTAACATAAAAATTAAGAGCAAATAAATAGCAAATAAATAGCAAATAAATAAAGATAAATGTTACCAACCTAAACGTTTAGAAGGCGTTTACTGTTACTCATGGTCCTTTGGTTTAATGTAAGGGATACACACTTCCAAAAAATCGACTACCACCAAAACTTATTTCAAAGCATAAACATTTTTATTAGTTTATTTTTCCGACTCTTTAAAATACAAGGGTATATCCTAATATGGGTTATCAATCGGGCTGCCCAAACCACCTTTGGTTGTCCGAGCGACCGAGTGGGCAAGGGTCACGGAGAGTCCCCCCCCCCAAAAAAAAAAAAAAAATCGTATGCAAAAACATAAACTGAACATTTTTTGCCTCAATTTCAAATCAAAATTCCTTGACGAATAAAAATAACAATTAAAAACTATAAGCAGTGTCACTTGATCGAATATTCAGGGGGGCTCCCCACCCTTCCCAAACGTTCGGGGGTCCGGTCCAACGTGGGGGGGGTGAATTTTAGGAAGTTCGGCTCTCGTAAAAAATTATTTAAGAGTTTAATTTATTTTAAAAAAAACTTTTGTTTGCGGGTTGCTTATGATGTAAACTACGTGTATATAAATATTCAAGACTTTTATCCCAGCCAAAAAAAAAATCACCAAAAATTGTGGTGCCAAAAATGTGTTTCCTCACTCACCGTTTTGTTTTTTCTTTTCGTTCTTATTTTTTATTTATTTCTTAAACCATTTTATTTATTTATATGTCTCTCTTGTAGTTTGTTTGTGTGTGTGTATGTATGCGTATATGCGTGTGTATGTGTATATAAGAGATGGAAAAAAAAAAAGAAAAAAAAAAAAAGGAAGGGGCGACGGGGAAGAATTGATATAGAGGGGGAATGTATGAGAGAGAAAGAGAACACAAGATTCGTGAAAACCTAACAAAACAAATTGTTAGGTTTACACGAAATGTATTCAAGATTATGATAGCACGTTTTTCAGGCCTCCTCCAGGAACAAAATTTTACGTGAAGTAAAACAGTCATAGAAAAAAAATAAAAAATTACGGTTTTAGAATCATTGGCAGTGGCGAGGAAAAAAACAAGTTTTCCATATAAAATCACTTTCTGGTGAAGCAGCGAATGTTCAAGAACTAAAATATCTCACTTTCTTGTTATTTTAAAAAATCATGTTTATAGTTTTATAAGATGTATAGCATGATGAATGTATTCAGGGGTTTCTCGAACGCTCAAATATGTTCTCCCATACCTCAACGAACATATTATTTTTTATTGTTTAATAGTATTTATTTTGTTTTTATTTTGTTTTTATTTTGTTTTTTTTTAATTTTAAACTCGTGTTTTGCTAAAAATTTGAAGGTGTCTCCTTGGAAAAAGTTGTTTGTATTCTTATTTTAAATAATATTTTTTTTTGCTAAGGTTTTATTATTAACGTTAAAATCAATTTATAGTCCTATAAATTAGTTTTCGCAGACTTGGTTTTTATTTAACTGCTGAAAATGACTTATAGTTCTATAAATGAGTATTCACCAAAATCCGTTTTTTTTACATATTTCAAGTTTGTCTTGTAATTCTTCAAAATTATCATATTTGAGCTTTGTTTTTTTCAAATCTATTGAGAATGTCTTATAGCTATATAAAAGGATTTTGCAAGAATTTTTTTTTTTGCACATTTTGAGGAACAATTGTTTTTTCACATCATTTTTTGCCCCTTTTATCGAAAAACAGTTAAAAACGTTTTTTTTGTGTAAAAAATAATAGTTTGACTTTTACTTTTCCATTCTATAAAAAATATAAGGTTTTGTCGTTTTGTTAGGTTTTCAAAAATCCAGTGTTAGAGTGTAGCGGACCTCTGGTTGGTTGGCCTGTGAGACTAGCCTCTTGGCCTGTTCTCACATGCCTGTGTTCCCAGCAGTTGTCTGTTTTCGAGTCATTCTTCACTTGCACATTTTTGGAGTACGTGCGTTGGAGTTATGCGTGGGAACTGCGTTGTGCATCTTGTTCCCCCCTTCTTCCTCCATCTCCATCTCTACCACTAGCGGAGCACCACACCTGGTGAGTCCGCTACATTGGTATCGGAGCAGGCGTTTCTCCGTGCTCCCTTCCCCTACCCACCCCCTCCATCACTTGCCACGTGGCTTGAGCAAAACGCTCGCCACTTCTACCCCCCGTAATGACACCGGTGCACGTTTTCCTTTATAACTTTTGCATCCAGAGTCCGTTTTTTTGGATCTTTGGCGTTTTGGAAAGCTCTCGACGAGCCGCTTCCAACGAGCCATAGAGCTATGTTAGTTTAAAAATCGCGATTTTTTTTTTTTTTTTTCTAGGCTCCAAAATCGCCCGCGCTCGTTTTTCAACGAGCGCTATTACTAGAGACCGCAGCTGATGCCGCGTCATATCTCATTGGAAGCGTCTTTCGACAAGCTTTCCAACGAGTCCTCTTTTGCCCAATTCCACCCAGCAGGTGAAAAGTTATGAGCAAACGAGTCTTTGCTCTTCCCTTGCCCCTCTCCTCCCTTTCCCCGTAGCCATCTCCAAAAGTGTCACGTGGCACTTTGTGAAGACCCCCTGTTTCAGGGGCTGCTCTACAGTGGTAAGGGTCTGCTCACACAACAGACCCTATATCTGCAGATCTGCAGAACTGCTGATGTTGGGGGCTGATCAAGATCTCAGCCCCCTCTCTCCTCCAGCTGGCTGCTGCATCAAAGGCCAAGATCCTCCTGGTCTTGGCGTACCTTGTGCCCTTGGAGACACCAAGGGCCAGGTATCACTCCCTTCTCCCCCCTTCCTCTACTAACCCACTCTCCCTACCTCTCCTCTCTCCTCTTACTCACCCCTTCTCTTTCCCCCACCTTCTACTGCATCTGTTCTCTCCTCCTTTTATCTTTCCCACCCCACCTTTCTCCCAACACCCATTCTTTTACTCTCCTTTCTTTATTTCTTTTCTTTTCTTCCTCCTTCTTTTCTCTTTGCTTCTTGATCCCTGTCCACCTTTCCCCACCCCTCCTCTCCCCCAACTATCACCACACCATCCCCCTACCTCCCACTTCATCTTTTTCTCTCCCCCCATCTATTTCTCTCTTTTCTCCTTCACTATTTCATTCCCCTTCCACCCTACTTCGAATTTTTTTTCTTCTGTTTTTCTTTTTTCCACCTCTCTTTTGATTTATCTTTTCTTTTTTCTTAAACTTCGAAATATCTTCTTTCCCACCTTCTTTTCTCATTTTCTGATTTATTTATTTATTTTTCTATTTATTCTGAAAATTCGATTTTCTTGGCGGCAACCCTAAATTTGATTAGGTGTTAGCCTTTCTTGCTTTCGACATACGTTTTGTCCCCGTGCGGGTAACGAAGTGTTGCCGAAATTTTCTGATTTTCTCTTACTTAGTCTTTTCGGCACACTTCGACCCCATGGGGGTAACGAAATGCTGCCAAAATTTTTGACAAATTAGATACTTCATTCCTCCCCACCTCCTCATCCACTTTTTTACTTATTTATTTATTTATTATTTCTTTATTTATTTTCTGAAATTTCTTTTTTTATTTGCGGCATCTTGACACCTAGTGTGCTCACCTTGGTCTCTCCCTTCCCCTTGGCACATTCTGGACCTCGTGGGGGGTAGGGAAATGCTGTCGAAAAATTTCAAAAAAATAAATATGGTTTTTCCTTCACATCTTTTTACTTGTTTCTTTAATTATTTTTATTATTTATTTATTTCCTTATTTATTTTTATTTTCTCTCGAAATCTCGTTGTTTATTTATTTTTCTCCCGCCTCCCCCCCCTTATGCTTGCTATTTTACTTTCTTGATTAGGTCACCGGTACCCTACCCTAACCACTTAAACTTCGGTTAGGGTTTTCTTAGGGTTTTTGTAGGGTTTAGGGTTCTTCMCCCCCCCCCCTACTTCCCCGTCCTCTTCGGGCACCCTGGACCCGAACCACCCCTACCCCTTTGACGGCGCCCACGCTAGCCTTGCTAGTGTCGTTCGCCGCTTTCTACTTCGGACTTCCCCCCTACGCCCTCAGCTCACACGGACCTCTTCTGGCCCCTCCAGTCCGGTCCGTCATCTCCCCATGGCCGACGGTATGTCACACGCCCCCGACACGACGATGACCACGGCCTCGGGCTCCACACCCGTGCCGGCGGACCAGTGCCATCAGCACCAGGGGGATCTGCACACCCTACTCACCTCCCTCCTTGCACCCATCCAGACGCGACTCGCGACCCTTGCGCCCATCCAGGCGCAACTCGCGACCCTTGCGCCCTTACAGGCGTAGGTGGCGACCCTTGCCGCCGACATGCGGCAACTCCAGGACGCTGGTCGTCCTTCCTCTCCTCACCCTATCTCTTCTCCTGGCTCCCAATCCGGGTCCCCCGTCCTCCAACAGGGTGGCCACGGTGGAGCTTCCTCCTCCGCTGCCCCCGACCCGATCATCTTGATGACCGTCCACACCCCTAGCACTACGGCCGCCACGAGTCAGGTCCTCCCTCAGTCTACGGACGCACCCGCCCAGACCCCGGTCATTATGGCCGCGGTACCACAACCCGCTACCATGGTCGCAGCTTTCCCGGGTGCCCCATTTCTCCCTCCTCTTCGCACGACCGCAGCGCCACCTGGCTCATGCGTCTCCCCCTGACACACCTCGCTTGACCTACCTTCGAGGTCTCGAGGACGAGATCGCCCAACTTCGGACCGACCTCGCCCTCTCACGCCTTCAGCCACCCCCACCCTCACAGGTGGCCGCGCCTTTCGGCGCACCCCCTTCTTCCTCTGTTCTTCCTTCCATGCAGGCTCGCTTCCCTCGCCCTCCACCCTACCCATCTCCATCCTACCTCCTCCCCATCCCCTCGGTTGCTGCGACCTCTTCAACCGCAACCTGCCGTTGTTTCCCCCGCTGCTCCACCATGCGGCCCGGGCGTACAGTCAGCTGCGCCTCCTCCTCCAGGACCTGCGCCGACTTATTCCGTCGTAGCGCACTCCCCTGCTTCCCGTTCCCCCCGCCGCCAAAACTGTGGCGCACCACTCATCCGCTTGTCGGACATTGCCTTGTATGACGGTACAGGCATACGCGTATCTAGGTGGATGCAGTCTGCCACCCGCACGCTCCAGCTCATGGGCGCCACACCCGACACGTGGGTGGGTCACTTTTCCACGCGCCTGTGTGGCGGTCCTTCCGAGGCCTGGGAGGATTTCTACGCGCACTCCCTTCGTGCGGGTCGGACTCCGACCTTCATAGATTTCCAGGCATTCCTCGAGGATCGCTTCGGAGCCCGACACGATGTGACTAACGCCTTCGAGCATGTCGTCACTACACGCTGGTCCGGCTCTGGTGGCGCTGCCGGCCTGGATCGCCACATCCAGGTCTTTCAGGACGCCCGCCTCATTTGTGACATAGCGTTCCTCCCCGAGGTGGCCGTTATCGATCAGTTCTTGGCCAGCCTTCCGCTCGAGTACCGCTCCGAGCTATGGCGGTACGAGTTCACATCGGCCGCGCAGGTTTATGAGGCAGCCAGGGACCATCAGCGGATGCGGGCCCGTCTTCACCCCGCCTCCGCCTCCCAGCCACAGCGTACTGGTTACGCCTAATCCTCCTCTCACGGCACTTCCCAGCGCTGTTCTCCCTTCCGCGGTCGCCCCCACCATTCCGCGCAGCAGGGCCTCCATTTCTCACGCTGCTTCAACGCGCTCAAGTATGGTGAGCAGGACGCTAGTGCCCCGCTGTCGCCAGCGGGTGACCATAGCGACGACCTCGATCTCGGCGATGTCGTCCACCACCACCTAGAGGACTCTACTCTCCCTATGGCTGAGCGCCTCTAGCTCATCCTCTCCACCCTCTCCCGGGCACGCAGCCACCTTGGTCATGCTGGCCCGTCACCCCCCGAGGTCCCTCAACAGGATTTCCCTCAGGGCTTTGTCCCTCCTCGCAGTGTCCTTTCCGCTGAGGAGCGCGCGGCTATTTTGGGCCCACGTGGGTGTTTGCACTGCCGTTTGGATGGTCATACCTCCTCGCGGTGCCCTTACACTACCGCCCTTGACCGCCACTACGCTGACCTTTCCCGCCAGCGTCGTGCTTCGTCCCCCCCCGGCGCCTCGCATCCCCGCGCCGCCTCCTAGCCACGGTGCAGTGTACACCTGCGCCCTCCTCCGTAGTCGGCTTCCCGACATCCCCGTCGCGGTTTGCCCCTATCGCTACTGGAGTTGAGGTCTTCTAGAACCCGACAGAGTGTACTCAACCCTCTGTCGCAGTGCCATCTGCGACTCCGCAGACCACCGTCTCCCCTCCTTCCCCGCCGCGACTACCGACGCGTCGAGCCATTTGCTCAGCCCATTGCAGCGAGAAGCTTGCGACTCGCGAGGACGTTGTGTCCTCTCTTCTGGACTTGAGCATGCTCCAGGCTCGTCAGGAGCGACTCACCCTCCATGTCGCTGCACTGAGTCACCTTCTCACCATCCTCTCTGACCCTAATCGCACCCTCCCGATCATCCCAGTACGACTCGGGACCTTCACGAGGGTGTACTCAGCGATGTGGGATTCCGGTTCTCAGGGCGACTTCATTCACCCACGCGTGGTGAAAGAAGCCTGCTTACCCATGACAGGGTCTCCGACTCCCATCTCCGTTACCTTAGGGGATGACAAGACCCAGGGCTTCTTCGTTCAGACGGTCACCGACCTCCCTTTCTTCCTCACTCTCGAGCTGACTGATCGTTCCCCGGCATCTTGTCGCCACCGCTCCTCTGCACATTTTGATGTGATGGAGACGGGGTACAACTTCATCCTCGGCACTCTGTGGTCTCGTCGGTTCCGCAGCACCGTGGCCGATTGGGCGACCAACACTCTCGTTCTCAAAACGAAGTGTGGACAGACGTATCGCGTACCTTTCATAGGTACCACCGCGACACCACGCCCCGATCCTCCTTCCCCGGAGCTTTCCGTGTCCACACCATCTCCGTCTATCAGTGTCACCTCGCCTCGGCAGTTCGCCCACTTCATCCGAGAGGACGACGTCACCTTCTTTATGGTGAACGTGACGGATCTCYTACACTATGATCCACCCTGTCCYGACGCCGAGCTCATCCCTCTGGAGCTAGATCCTCCTTCTATCTCCATGGCTCCCATCTCTACTCCCGCCCCTCAGCCGTCCGTCGAGTCCACCCCGCAGTCGCGCGCTGACGCTGACGCTGAGGAACTCGCACGATATACGGCCGACTTGGAGCCCGCAGTTCGTGACCTCATYCGAGAGTACCACGACGTTTTCCCATCGTCGTTCTCGTACGCTGGCATCCCACCGATGCACGACGTCGAGCACTCCATCCAGCTTGTGCCTGACTATCGTGTTCACCACCAGGCACCCTACAGACTCTCGATCCCCGAGGCCACCGAACTCAAGCGTCAACTTGAGGAGCTCCTGAGACTGGGTTTCATTAAACCCAGCAACTCCCCGTGGGGTGCACCCGTCCTCTTTGCTCGCAAAGCGGATGGAACTCTTTGTCTCTGCATCGACTATCGCGGCCTCAACCGCTACACGGTTAAGAACAGCTACCCCATGCCTTCTTCCGACGAGCTGTTCGACCGCCTAGCAGGCAACCGCTTTTTTACGAAGATTGATCTTTGTAGCGGTTACCATCAGATCCGCGTCGCTGCAGCCGACCAGCCGAAGACCGCGTTCCGATCGCGCTTTGGCCACTACGAGTTCACGGTGATGCCATTCGGCCTCACCAATGCACCCGCTACCTTCCAGAGGGCGATGAACGACATCTTCAGGGACATCCTGGAGCAGTACGTTCTCGTCTACCTCGACGATATCCTGGTCTACAGTCATACCCTTGAGGAACACCTCAGACACCTCCGTGACGTCCTTGACCGCTTGCACAAACATGGCTTCTATGCCAAGTTGAGCAAGTGCCGCTTTGCCCAGCACAAAGTGAATTTCTTAGGACACTACGTGTCTGACCAGGGTCTCCACATGGACGACGAGAAGATCACTGCTATTGCGGAGTGGCCCGCCCCCACATCCGCCAAGCAGCTTCGCAGTTTCCTAGGCTTCACCAGCTACTATAGTAACTTCATCCGGGGATACGCTAGGTATTCCTACGTCCTTACCTCCACCCTCCTCCGGAAGAACCCACCCTGGGCTTGGACACCCCTCCACGAGGACGCCTTCCGCGCCCTCAAGAAGGCGGTGACATGCGCACCGGTTCTTCACCTACCCGATTTTGATCGCCCTTTTATCCTTACCACCGATGCGTCAGACTTTGCTGTAGGAGCAGTGCTTTCTCAGGTCTTTTCCTCCTCTCCTGATTCCTCTTATCCTCGTATCCATCGCTTCTCACCACCTACCACTACCACTGCTTCCCGACTGACGCCTACTCGTCCAGCTACTTACGAGCCTTCTATTGACTATTCTCCTACCATCGCCGAGGACGACACTGTCCAGTCTCGCTCAGGTGATTGTTCCATAGCCTTCTCCTGTACGGGGCACCGTTCACGGTGCGTACGGACAACTCTGTTGTTCAAGCTTTTCTGACAAAACCGAAGCTCACTCCTCGACAGGCTCGCTGGTGGCGCGACCTATCCGAGTTTAGTTTCACCACTGAGCACATCAAGGGTGAGACTAATCGGGTCGCAGATGCCTTATGCCGGCGCCTTGACCACGACCAGGAGCAGATCCAGCTCTCTTCCATCTCGGTCACCACTGTCCACCACTCGGTGATCGACGAGTTTCGCACTCAGTACCGCCACTGCCCCGACTATCGCGACATCCACGCGACCCTTCGGAGTGGCAAGACCGTCCCGAACTACTCTCTCGGGGACAACGGTCTCATGTACTGGCACGGTTCACAGGGCACCAGAGAGCCCCGTATTTGCGTTCCCTCCACTGGACAGCTACGTGTCCGAGCAGTAGCAGAGTTCCATAACCAGGCAGCCGCCGGTCATATGGGCTTCCACAAAACGTTGCCTCGTGTGAGCCGCCTGTACGTCTGGCCGAAGCGCAAGGACTTTGTGAAGGACTACGTCGCAGAGTGTCCCACCTGTCAGGAGGTGAACAGTGCGAACCACCTGCCTTATGGTTTGCTCCAGCCTCTTCCTATCCCTGAGGGTCGTTGGCAGTCCATCTCGATAGACTTTATCGGTCCTCTTCGTCCTCCGACCCCCCGCGGTCATGATGCTATCCTGGTCGTCGTCGACCGCTTCACGAAGCGTGCACGCTTTGTTCCGTGCCACTATGCCATCAGTGCACGTCAGGTCGCAGACATCGTGTTTGACCAAGTCGTGCGTGACCACGGCTTACCACTGAGCATCATATCTGACCGTGACCCATGCTTTACCAACCGATTCTAGCGACGGCTCCACGAGGTGTACGACACTCAACTCCGCTTCTCCTCGTCTTACCATCCTCAGACTGATGGTCAGACCGAGATCACGAACAAGACTCTCGAAGATATTCTTCGAAAGATTGTTCGTGACGACCAGCAGTGGGATCTCCATCTTGCCCACGCGGAGATAGCCTACAACCACGCCATCTCGCCAGCCACGGGGATGTCGCCTTACTATTGCGACCTCGGCTATCACCCTCGTGTTCGTGCGGACTTCCTCCGACCGTCACAGATGCACCCCGACCTGAGTTGTCCCGCGCTGGATGATTGGGTTGCACACATGACGTCGATCATGAAGACCGCACATGAGCACATAGCCGCTTCCCAGACTCGCATGGCAGCACGTGCGAACCGTTTGAGGATGAATCATCCATTCAAAGTCGGTGATGATGTGCTTATCGACGCCCGCCACTTACAGCTCGAAGCGGACACGCTTCACAAGTTTCGGCGTCGCTTCTTTGGCCCATGCCGCATCCTCCAGGCCGTCGGTTCTGATATGGCATCTAGCCCGGTCAACTTTCGTGTGAAGCTGCCCGACTACCTACGCCAGGCTCGTGTGCACGATGTCTACCATGTCTCGTTACTTCGTCCTTACCGCAGACCGTCTGAGCGTTTCGCTGGACGACCATACCAGCGCCCTCCACCCATCATGGTGGAYGGCCACGAGGAGTTCCTCGTTTCAGACATCATTGGTCG